TCCCTGGTTATGATTCCCTGAAGAATACTGTATAACAACTATCTTTGCAGGATTTACATTACATTAGTATTATAACCAATCTAGAGATGATTTAAAGTACACAGGAGGATGTGCAGTATTTATACAAATACTGCATCAATATTATACAAGGATGTGCATGTTCTCAGATTTTGGTACCTGTGGTGAGGCTCCTGGGATCAACTCCCAGGGGATGACTACTGTATTGAGCAACGACTGTTCATATTTCTCATTCTTCCCTTTTCCAAATAGAAGCTTGTATTGTGGTTCCTAATTTACCTCTACACTGTATTTGGGAAGTGGGGAGTGAAGGCATTTGCCTAAGTTTGGGGGTAAGAACCATTACCTAGCCTAATGCAAAGGACTGCTGCATTCACACAGAAATCCTGGAATTTGGACAGGAGGTATTACGTGGATGAGGTTCTGTGATGTCACCCTGGGGCAGGATGTACTCCCTTGGGGTGTACTCTCCTTCCCTCCACATCTGGGAGGGACGTTACCCGGGTGGCGCAGGGGCAAACAGAAGCAAGGCTGCTAATTTTTTTCTCAAAAATCCATTCTTCTTTTTTTTTTGCTTACAACTAAAGCCCCAGGATTTTAACAGGGTCACCCACCAAGGGACTGCGTTCCTCTGTGTACTTGGCTGTTAAGTGTGCCTTTGTGGTTGGGAACTTGCCGATGGACTATGAGAAGTGATGTGGGCACCTCTGGTCTCTCCCTCTCTATTTTGGGCTAGAACACAGACAAGGTAGCTTTGAACACTTTAGAATACCAGAAACATTCTGAGAATGCAGTGAAAGGATGAGAAGAAACAGAGGTCCTTGAATGACTGTGTGTGACCCTGACCACCTTCCTACCTCTAACGATGATAGGAGAACGCAACTTCTATGTATAATGAGGAACTGCATTTTAAAACCTTTGTAACTCCCAGTAAGCTGGAACCCTAACTAAGATAAGACCTCCATTTATATATATTTTCCTGTTAACAGAGGGTACATGCACTAACCAGAGAGAGACAGAAAGACATAGAGGAAGAAATCACCCCTTAATGGGGTCTGGTCACACTGCAATTCTTCTTCCTCCATTCCTCCTTCTTGTTAGGATTCTGGGTACACATGTATACACGCCTGCCATGTTTTCCAAGCTACTGGGGCTGAGAGTCTAACCACAGCTAGCCATGTGGGATCTGGCTCCCTTAGCCTCTGTGCTACAGGATAGTACCACCTCCCCATGATCTTTGAAACATGAGAATGTATTGCTTATTTGGGAAATTATTAGCTTTTTCTTTTAGATTTTTGCCATAGGGCATATGCGCTTGTCCAAAGAGAGACAGAGACAGTGAGAGGAAAAATGAGAAATTACCACTTATGGGGATGGCCACATCAAAATGTTTTCCCTTCTATTCTCCTGGAACTTTAGAAATGCACACGCATGTGCCTGACATGACCAATGGGCAACTGGGTGCAAGACTTGAACTGCAGTCGACCATGTGGGACCCAGTGCACCAGCCACTATACTGTAATCTGTTGGCCCTAGGAAATTAATTTTTTAAAAGGAGTAATACTTTTTTAAAAGTGTCAGCAACCCAAAAGCAATTTTTTTTAGAGGTTTTTGCTATACGACGCATGCACATGCCAGACAGACAGAGAAAGACAGAGAGACAGAAAGCGAGAAATCACCACCCCCCAGGGAGGATGGCCACACCGCAATCCCTTCTCCTCCATTCTCTTCTTGGGATCTTGGGCACACACGCACATGCACCCGGCGTGAGTTTTAAGCCACCAGGTCTGGGATGTGAACCGCAGTCGACTACATGGGAGTCCAGTGACACTAACTGCTGGTCCCAATAACAATTTTTTTTTAAACTCCATACTACAACTTCTAAGGAAGTAGTATTCAAGAGAAGCTGAATTCCACATGGCAACCCCAGTTCAAATAATGGGCCGTGTCACCCTGAAACACGCCACGTTTGGGTGGAAGCACCCAAGATCTTACAGGCTGGAGTAGAGGAGGGGGATCACAGCATGGCCAGAGCTGGGGGAGAGTACTTCTCTCTTTCTCTCTCTCTCTCTCATGCAAATATACGGTTATGCGAGGGAGGGGGGAATCTATAGGTATCTGGTCAAAAGAGACTTCCCCAAATAAATTTTGGATGACCACAGAATAATATTTATAGCATCCTGAAAGTCCAGAAGAAGAAGCACTTAAGAATCTCTCCCCCAGCTGGGGACAGAGGGAACAGGCCAATATTATCAAGCATGTGAAATCTCAGGAAAGGCAGTCCCCATCATCTTCTTTCATGGAAAGAAAGAGAAAAGCATGCTTAATGGCAAAGTCCAACCAACCATATAATAAATCGGAAACCAGAGAACAGAGGGAGCCATGGTTAAGCTGTGAAAACAACCGCTAAATTCATTTCAATGTAACTAGGACTTACAAACTGTGGGAATGACAATTACAGAACTAAATGTAATACATCGTACAATATATAAAAGCTGAGACGGGAAGAGGGGACAGGCGCTGAGAAGTACAGACAGTAGGCCCAGTGCACAGGCGAAACACAGCTTAAAGATATCAGCGACACGAGGGACTTCAAAACATTCGGGGAAAAACTGAATTAATGTTTATTTTGCCAAAAAAAACATTTTGAAATCTTTGCATTGTTTATTCATAATATACATTTTCCATAAACTTTTTCATATACTAAAATGTATGTATCTTTTTTTTTTTTCATATACTAAAATGTATGTACCTTACTGTTTAGATCTCTCAATAAAACAGTAACACCATTACCCTCCATGCTTCACACAATCCTTTTTCTTAACTTTGGAGAGTATTTCAGAGGATAATAAATCTCATTATGAAAAAATACATAATTGAAGTTGGGCAATTATTTGGTTTTGTTTACCCTTTTTCCTGATATATACAGCTAACCCTGTTGTCAGGGTATTTCTGTTCTAGAGTGACATTCATGGACACTGACAGTGGCTATCTCTGAGTGTTAATATTTAGGAGAATTTTTAGAAATTCATTTGTGCTTTTATATAAAATTTTCCCACAATGAATTTCACATCATTTAAAGGTGATGAGAAAGATAAATTATATTACATAAAAATTTTAAAACATAGGATTACAAAGCATAGGCTATACAAGTGTATATATAGTCAGGGCCAGCAGCTGGCATAATGGCTATGTCACTGGACTCCCACGTAGTCGACCGCAGTTCGAGTCCCGGACCTGGTGGCTTAAACTCACACTGGGCATGTATGTGTGCGTGCCCAAGATCCCCATAGTAGAATGGAGGAGAAAGGATTGTGGTGTGGCCATTCTCCCTGTGGGGTGATTTCTTGTTTTCTGTCTTTCTGTGACTCTATGTATTTCTGGCGAGTGCATGTGCCTGATAGCAAAATCCTCTCCAAAAAAAAAAAAGTGTATATATAGTGTTACGGTTTGTATCATTAAAAATTTATGGGACCAGCAGTTAGCGTAATGGCTATGTCGCTGGACTCCCACGTGTAGTCGACCATGGTTCATGTTCCGGACCTGGCGGCTTAAAACTCATGCCGGGTGCGAGTGCGTGCGTGCCCAAGATCCCGAGAGAAGAATGGAGAAGGGATTGCGGCATGGCCATCCCCCCTGGGGGGTGATTTCTTGCTTCCTGTCTCTCTGTCTCTCTCTGTCTGTCTGGTGAGCACACGCGCCCTATAGCAAAAACCTCTCAAAAATAAAAATTGATGTGTAGGGGCCAGCAGGTAACATGGTGGTGATGGCACTGGAGTCTCACATGGCTGACCATGATTCAAGTCCGGACCTGGAGGCTCAAAATTCACTCGAGGGGAACCAGCAGGTGCTGTAGTGGTTATGGCACTGGACTCTCACATGGCCAGCTATGGTTTGAGTCCCAAACCTGGTGGCTTGAAACACACTGGGCACATGTGAGTGTGCCCAAAATCCCAAAGGGAGAATAGAGAAAGGAATGCAGTGTGGCCATCCACCCTGGGGGTTGATTTCTCACTTTCTCTTTTTCTCTGTCTCTCTGGTGAGCACTAGTGCCCTTTAGAAAAAAAATCTCTCTTTAAAAAATTTTCTCTTAGAAAAAAGAAAAAGAAAGAAAGAAATCATTGTGTGTGCATGTGTGTGCAATGAGTGTCCAAAATGCCAGGGCAATAGAGGAGATGGGATTGTGGCATGGTCATCCACTTTGGCGGGGTGATTTCTCACTTCCCCTCTCACTGACTCTGTGTTTCGCGAGCACACACAGAAAAAAACCTTTTAAAAAATGTGTAGGGATGGATTGCTTGTGAAGATATTAAGAGGAAACTTGGTGCCTTTGTGGTGTTGAAAGGTGGGGCCTTTGGGGTGAAGTGATTAGAGTGGGGTTTTCACGACTAACTTCTGGTGGGTTTCTAAGGACAGGGAAAG